TATACAATCCACTTAGGATGTTGTAGAATACCAGAATTCCAAACAAACTGGCAAATACAACGGCGTAAACCTTGTCGACAGAGTGTATAAACTGACTAAAATTTTCAATAACCATATTGTGAATTATGTTTAGAAACCACTGGTAACCATATGCATTGTATAGGACGAAGGGCGTCTGCGTCACTATCGACCAGTTATATACGCCCTCGGAAGGTTATGGCCAAGCTGCAGTCCCTAAGGGGTCCGCAAAATAGTGGGGCTAATTTCCGCGAGGCTTGTTTTTGCCATGTGCACGAGGACAATTAAATATTTCCACTGAAGACAAGGACTCGCATTGTCGCATCTACTAACTCAGCAGATGGAGAAGATCGACATGACACTCATCCAATTTGGGTTGATCCAGAGGATAATTATTGTATACTGGGGTATCAACATTTCTATGGCCTTCTAAAATAGGCGTAGTATTACAGATAGTAGAGTGTATTGAGATATAAATACTAGGGTGTTGGCGGTGGAGGGCTAATGCATCGCTTCGATAGAACCGATGGGGAAATTCCACGACGTCGAGAGAGAAAACCAGCTTAGTAATTCCTAGGTATAGAACAATAGAAGCCAGAACCAAGGGAGGACCAGCTGTGCACGGACAGCTCCCACTTTACTGTCCCATTTTTGGAGGACCTGAAATAGCCCTTAGAGAAGATATTTCTCTTTAACTGAGTCTATGTCTATAACACGGTGTAACCCCATCTCATCCAACACTAAGCGCTCTTTTTGAAGTGAGCTTTGTTAAGATGTAATCAGAAAATTCATTATATTTGTCACGGCTGAGTCTTTTTTCTGGCCAGTAAGCTTTCCAAGATGTTTGATTCTCGACAAGTAGCTAGATCAATGATTGTGTTCCTCCAGTAGGCAATAATGCCAGAGGCAAAAACCATCTTAACCCTTCTATATTGCATGTTCGGTGCCAGTAATAAGGACTCTTTCCTAAATCAATTCACTA